TTATTCATCTCTTGCATCAACAGAATGGTCAGTGAAACACATTGGATCACACCTTTGGTAAAACTAGATGGGTTGCCACCAGCTTAAGGGGGAAAAAACAGCTTTAACACCAGAAGAATTATAAAGTTGCCTCAGACATGGGTTGAGAATGAGATGAAGAAATGGCAGGGAGGGAAAAAGAGTGCGCACGCAAAGCGCGGCCACTAAGCCACTCCCACCCAACCGTGATCAAACTTTTGGAATCCCACCACTGCTTCAAAACTGTTGACCATCTTCTCCTTTAACCCTGGAAAGGGGCCCTTACCAGGTCCTACCAGCTGGGCCAGTTGGACCAAGGTTTTTTAAGGAGGTATTACTCCTCCGGTTTTCCCTATTATTTTGATAATACCAATAGACATAGCAAGCTGTTGGCTTTCTTACACAGCATCTAGGAAGGAGGTCAGAAGACTGCAGTGGTTTGAAGCAGACTTTCCCCCACTCCTGAGCTGAAATAGCATCTATTACCTTGCAGTCAGCAGAAAACTATACTGGCATACCATGTCCCCACTGACAACCCTTATCCAGTTATTAGAACAATTTAGAATAGCTTAGAAAGTGGAGTTCGTGTCATGACAGATTTCTTCTCAAGAAACGATAAATGCTAGTTGAGTTATGTTATAGCTACCATGAATTCTCTCATGGACTTGCTGGCAGTATGCAACCAAAATTTGTTCCTAAACAGATTAATACCAGAAATCTCACCAATCCCTATCTTCAAGCTATATTTGAAGAAGTATGAGGATTGTCTACTCAAATTTTAGCATTAGCAGAAGGTCAGAGAGTCCAGAAATCGTGATATTTATTACTGCTACTGCCTACTATTTTCCCCCTGCTTCCTCCAAGAATGTTGAATAATGGAGGACCTTGCACCTTGACCTCTTTGCTTACAACTAGGTAACAAAGCCATGTGCAGCCTCTTACATATATTTGACCTTCAGCTACATCCTAATGTAGGTTATGGCAGATTCGTGGAAGAACACATGTTCTTCACACATTAATAGCATTCACATGAAGAGGCAGGCCAGTCTGTTACATGGTTCATAATGAAACAGGATGCACACTTGCTTGCTATCCAATTTTGGGAACTGAAGGAAAGCTGTGGTTCTTAGCTTTAGTAAATGCACAGCTTTTACCCGTAGCTGTTATTGTTGACAGGGTGTGCATGGACAGGAACACACCAGTGGTGGGATTCAAATTTTTTTACTACCGGTTCTATGAGAAAGTGCTTTGCGTGCAGCGTTCAAAATACACCAATTTCAAGCACTACACCTTACCTTCTAGGGCAGCCCCGTAAGTAAAACAGCTGAGGCGCAGGAATCCACTGTGCCATGTGAATCAGCTGAGCTGAAAAATGCGGAAATATAGGACAGGATAGGGCGGAGGCAGGTGGGTGGGGCCAGCTGATCATCAGAGCTACTGGTTCAGTAGAACCAGTCCGAACAGACAGCATCCCACCACTGGAACACACCCATTGTGTGTGGGGATACAATTCTCTGGATGTGGGATATTATTCTCAAACAGTTCTGCCTGGCCATAATACACCAGAGGCTGCTGATTTATCACTGGATCAGGTCAGCACTGTGCAATATGACTTGTGTCTATGATTCAGCTTTAAGAACCAAGCAGTATATCTTGGTTTCTAACAAGTGGAATTTGATCCTAGCATCTTTTTCACAGCCTGCTCAGATTTTGACTTGCTTGTTGCAGTGAACTGGCTGCTGCATTTAGGTTTAAGAGGCCTGGATTATATTCCATGCTCAATAATGTACTTCAGGTAACCAATAACTCTCAGCCAATAATTTTCCTTATGGGAGTGTTACGAAAGTAAAACAAGAGAACTGTGAATATGCCATTCAGAAACAAGACATTGTCAAACTTGAGAAGACAAAAGCAAAAATTCATTTGATCTCCGCTACATGAGAAGAGACTACAGTTTGGTGCTAAAACACATGATCTGCAGACCAATTGGATCTCAGTTGTCTCAGCTGAGTAATAAAAAGGGATCTGAAATTCTACAGGAGAATGTGTGTGCCAAACTACAGTAAAATATGGCCTGAAACCTTGTTTTTTTTTTTCAATCACCCTCACAACACTTCTTTCCCTTCTTCCTCATCTCCGAAGTTAGATAAGCTTAGGTCATTCTTGGCTGTTCCAGTGCTGAAATAGTATCTAAGACTAGCCTGAAGGTGTGGAACACCTGTTAGACTTAGTCACCCATTGGAAAAGTCAAGGCACCACAGTAATTGAGAATGCAGGCAGAAGACGCATGTGATGAGGATAACACATCACAAGCCAATATAGTTCTCTGTGGACTGAGAGAAGGAGCATTTAACTCAAGACCTAAGGAAAGCCCCAAGAGACCTCTGACTGTAGACTTGAAGTGCCACTGTTGGCTTGAGTACATTAAGTACATGGCTATTAGCGGGACTTGGAATAATTACAGATAGTCCTCATTTAGCAAGTGAATATGCCATTCAGAAACAAGACATTGTCAAACTTGAGAAGACAAAAGCAACAATTCATTTGATCTCCACTACATGAGAAGAGACTACAGTTTGGTGCTAAAACACGATCTGCAGACCTGTTAACTGTTTCTTTTAGTGAATGCCTCATGTAGCAACTGTTCAGAATTATGAAAATGATTAAAAAGTAATTTTATGACCAATCCTAATTTTTACAATCTCAGCAGGTCTCTAAAGCAAAGCTGACGTAGAATCATAAGCCACAACCATTGTTTCACTTAAATGCCCCAATTGTAGCCACTAAATGAGGATAACCTGTATTATTTTTTATTATTAACCTAAACCTTGCTTTCAGTCTGAGCTCTCTGAACATTTAATACACTCTGAGAACCTGCTCTCAGGATTATATTTAAAATATCAGTGCTGAAAAGCTTGTGTGCACCTTTCTGAATTTATGAACACTTGACACTTTCCACAAAGCAAGTTCCACTGCACATTTGAATCACATGACTACACACCTACTTGTGCAGGCTGGTTTTCTAGGTGAAAACCATATGTATCTACCTCCACATTTCCTCTAATGTAGGACCCCTGAAAGAAAAACAATACTCAGTCACTGACCCAACAAACTTAGGACTGTTTTGAACAATAGCATTTGAAGTATACTGTTCTCCAGTATGGAAGCTGGAAGGAAAGCAAGTTCTTCTGTGTTGACTGCAATGCTGATTCTTCTTCTACTTTAGTAATGAAATAGAACAAGGGATTTCCGTTGACATGACACTGAGAGGTGGGATGAAGAAAGCCTTTCCTGCCAGCCTGGATCTTCAGGTGTCAATTCTGCAATTCCCCTTAGCATCACTCCATGGCACTTGTTTTTCAAACTTGGGCACTTTAAGATGTATGAACTTCAATTCCCAGAATTTCCCGTTTGAAAAGCACTGCTCTATGGAATCAGGGAACTGGCACCAAAGTATCTTACCTTTAATGGTATCTCTCTCCCCTGTTTCTCTGTCAACCATGGGAACAGCTGCAATGAGAGAGAAGGGGACCTGATTTTCCCGCTTCTCAGCGTGTGCAAGAGAGGGGAAGGATGGAGGAAAAGCAAGCATTTTGGGTGTCAGTTGGGTTGAAGAACATTGAACATATAGTGAAACATATATTCAGCTCTCCTCACTGGACAGATATAAAATAATGGCCTCACCCAAACCTTTGGAACAGGAAGCAGTTGCACCCTGAAGGAGGGCATTAATAAGCAGCTTCCTTTCCACTTCCCTTCCCCCAACAGTTCTCCAATTGTGGAAGACCTCTGGATAGGAGACCTGGGGCCTAAAGATCTGCTCTCCCACCCCCACCCCCAACAGCAAAATTACCTTGCCATTCTTCCCAGCCCTAATAACTTGGAGATCTGCTGCCAGGTCTGGCCTAATTTTGCAAAATAAGTTGGGCAATGGGAGTCACTTTGGCAGAGTGGGAGAGTCTTTTATTTATTTTATTTTTTATATATTTGATTTGTCAATCACAAGATTATAGATATAAGTATAAACATGAGTAAGAATACAGGAAATAGGTACAAATAAATGAGGACAATAGGACAGGGATGGTAGGCACGATGGTGCACTTATGCACGCCCCTTACAGACCTCTTAGGAATGGGGTGAGGTCAATAATAGGTAGTTTGAGGTTAAAGGAGTGGGGGGTTTGAGGATGTAACAACAGAGTCAGGGAGTGCATTCCAGGCATTGACCACCCTGTTGCTGAAGTCGTACTTTCTGCAATCAAGTTTGAAACCCGTGTGTGTGTGTGTAGGGGGGCAGGTGAATGCTCACGGCAGCCTTCGGTGACCTCAATAACAGGACAGATGGTCCTTCTCCCGCCTTACCTTATTTGGGGGCCACGCGTGCAGACCATCCGAAAGGCTGTGTCTGGCCTGGCAGAAAGCGGACCCCCCCCCCCAACACACACACGCATACACCCTGCGCTCTTTAGAAATGGATCACACGAGAACACGAGGGCAGGCTCTGGAGTACGTCGAAGAGGCTGTTCTCCGTCCAGGTGTTTCCGGAAGGTTTGTCAAGGCATCTTCCCCCTCTTCCTCCTGCCGGGGCCCGGGAAGAAGTCTTAGTCACCCATTGCTTTATTGAAAGAGTCGACCTATTTTATCACGGACGGAGGGACGACTCTAATTCTACGTACTCTATGGAAAAACAAACACAAGGAAGCCCTTATCAGCGTGGATGATAAGTCGCCTCTTGGCCGATGATTGACTCTCATGGCAAAAAAAAAAAAAAAAAAATGACCCGACCAGGTAAGAACGGAGGGGGCGGGGCGGGGGGGGGGAAACTCTGACTCAGCTTCCCCTTCCAAGCGCTGGTCATTGGGCCAGCTTCTTCTGATTGGCTGATCGGTGCCCAACTCTACGTTTCATTGGCTCCCCGCATTCCCTATTAGGACTCCCTGCCCCGCCCGCTGTATTAATTTAGCCGGCGGGTTGGGGGAGTGCTGGGATTTTGCTGCAAGTCGCGAACGCTGGTGTTGCGGTTGCCGCCCGCTTCGTTTACCGCTGCCATGAGGGAGAGAAGGACTCCTCAGCCAGTAGTGGCCCGGTGCAAGTTGGTTCTGGTGGGGGATGTACATTGTGGCAAGACGGCCATGCTTCAGGTCCTGGCCAAAGACTGCTACCCGGAGGTAAGAGGAACCAGCCGGCTTGGGGAGGGGTGGAGGGGGCGGCTTCCTCTGCGATCGCGGGAGGGTGAAAAGCGTTATCTTGCGCTTCCCCCCCCCAGCGGCTTTGGCACCCGCGCGTTCTTTTGCGCCTCTTCTCGTTTCGCGGGGAATTGGATGGGTCCCTCATGCGGGATACCTCGGAGGGGTGGGGTGGGGGGCTTCCTGCCATGCGGTTTCCCCTCCAGACTGGAGATCCGACTTCGCTGGAATGGCATCACGTGGCTCCCGGCCCTTCTCGGGGGCTTGCTCTGCCTTACCTAAGCCCGGTCTCTTGCAGAGCACCGGTGTTGCCGCCTCTGCGCAGATTTGGAAGTCCCTTGTAGCTTTCCTGGAGTACTTGGCGCGCCAAGTGGTCTCCGTTGCTTCGGGGCGGGTTGCGGGCTGCTGCCAATCTCATCGGTTTGCAGCCTGTCGGTATCCCCCCCCCCCCCCCGCGGCTTGAGTTGCAGAGGTATTCACTGACATCTCTGTTGCTTGCTCGATACGATTTCGGGCTGTGTGCAAATCCTATGCAGGAGCTGCCCCCCCGCATCTCCATTTTTGCTCGTTTTGGAGCTAGGAAGGCCGTTTTGGCCAAGCCCCCCCTTCTTGTTCTAATAAACACACAACCGATTGCTGTGTTCACGGGATGATGATTCTCTGTCTTCTGTCTTTATTTTAGACCTACGTGCCCACTGTTTTTGAGAACTACACAGCATGCCTGGAAACGGAGGAGCAACGGGTGGAGCTCAGTCTGTGGGACACATCTGGTAAGGCACCTCTTTTCCTTCTGTGCTTGGCTGCTGCTCAGGACCGACCCACATTCTCCTTATGCTGCAATGGAGTGGTCTAACTGAAGGACTAGCTTGTGTAGGACCTAGTAGCTGGCCAAGGGATATCAATCCTGAAAATTCCTTGCTACTGATTACTACCTGGTGTATGAAATGAGGAGGAGTTCTAGTCTGTTTCTAAGGGAGGTAGGGGGAGGCAGAAGACTTACTAGTCTGTTTAGTTTTGAGGTCAGGAAGACTACACTGCAGGTAGAAATGCATGAAGGTGCTTTTTGTCATAACTGGGAAAGAACAATACATGGCCTGGCTTAGAGGTAGTTTTTTGAGGCAAGTTAGACCATATATGTGTATTTCAAACCTTTAGCACAAAGAAAGGATAATGTGCTTTGTGTATTGTAGTGTTGCAATCTTGGACTGGAAAGATATTTTTGCATTTATATGTAGAAACTAATACCTTTTTAAGGATTTATATTGAGTGGGTGGGTATGATGTGAAACTAGAAGAGATTGGTAAGAGTAAGACTTTTAAGGCTTGCATCTTGACCAAATACCACCTCCGAACCATTCTTAAAGGGAAGTGGCGCTAAACATCTATTTTGAGATTTCAAACCTGGGCTAGAGACTTTTTCTAGCTCCTTAAATAAGATGCTCCGGTATCTCAGCCTTTTAAGTAATGCAGCAGTCCCACCCCATCTACTGCTTGCACCTGCTTTTTCCCCCAGTCCTTCTGATAAACCCTGTGAAGGCTGTTAAGCTCCCACCCATCTATTTTATCCATCCCTTCATTTCATCTCTCCCTGAATGTGTGATGTGTGTGTGTGTGTGATTTTCCCGGTTTTTTCATGCACATTGAGGAAGAATCCCAGGGCAAAAGGGGTTCAGTGGATTCTGCAAGAGGAATCAAGGGGGCAAAGCAGCCCTTTATAATAAGGGGGCTCTTGAAAGTATTGTATGTGTGATGGAGGAGGTGCCAAGAAGAGAGTTCTCCTAGCAACTAGGGATGGGCATCATCCCCTCTTTTGAAGGGGATTGAAAGTGGGGGGACCCTGGCTATTTGGATCCCCTTGTTGCCATGGTGATTGTGCTGGTGCAGGGAACCAGGGGCTGATTGCTATTCTAGGCACGAAGCGTCTGGGCTGCAACATTTTGGATGCTGCGGTTCCTGAGGGGGGAGAATAGCCTGTGTATATTATTCATCTCTCCCTCACTTTGCAGCCAGCCAACACTACACCGCCATAGTCCATTCGCTGTTCCTGCATGTATGACATGCCTGGAACATGCACAACTCATTTTTCTCCATGTTTAATGAGAAATGTTACCGGACAACTCCATTCTTCCCTCTAAACTACATACTCTCCTCGTAAATCTCTGTAATTGGAAATGTCTGTATCCCTTTTTTTTTTTCCACATTCAGTATTGCTTATATGTCAGGTGTGAAAGAGGAAATGGACTTTGTTTGGTAAAACGTGGTTGAACTATTTCCTGGGGATATGAAGGATGGGAGTGAGTAAGCAAAGCCCTGCAGATTTCTGACTCCTGTTACTTTTTCATGTTATTCCTTTGAAGGGGGAGGGGGGTGTTAAAAGCACAAAACCTGGAAGTGTATCTAATCCCAGCACTGGGCAGTTTTATCATCTGGCATTCATGCAAGCAACTTTTTTCCCCCTCAACAATATTGGCAAAGGGGAAAGAGAAGGACGTGTTGAGTCACTTCATGGCTTTTCTCACTACTTCTCGTAGGATCCCCATATTATGACAATGTGCGCCCCCTATGCTACAGTGATTCAGATGCCGTCCTGCTCTGTTTTGATGTCAGTCGTCCTGAGACCATGGATAGTGCAATGAAGAAGGTAAGGAAGGTGTGACCTGGCTAGATGATCCCATTGTCCTGCCTACTGGGACTTGACTTGATCTAAAGCAAGGGCCTTCAAACTTGGCAAGTTCAAGACTTGTGGATTTCAACTCCCAGAATTCCTGAGCTAACATGACTGGAGGAGGAATTCTGGGAGTTGAAGTCCACAAGTCTTTAAAGCTACCAAGTTTGAAGAGCCCTGATCTAAAGCTTTGAGGATGTTACTTTTTAAAGGGGGAAAAAGGGAAATATGAGTGACTTTGAGGCACTGAGGAGAGAGAAGCTAACATCACCAAAAGTAGGGTGGACCAGAACAAAGAAATAGCTCTAGTTTTAAAACCCTACTTTAAAAGTAATACAGAAGTTTTAAATACAATTCATTTAATTACTCACTTTGTATGGCATTTTGTTTTTTTGCCACAAAATAAATTTCATTGTTGAAGCAAGCATTTCGAGTACTCTGGAACTTGTATATAGGCCTCTAAAGGGATTGTAAGAGATTGTATTTTGAGAAGGAAATTCTACAGTTTTTTTTAAATGTGTACCACTGTAATCAACATCACAGGTTTCAGACTCTGAAGGTTTCTTATTAGGTACAGATACTGCATTGGTGAGAAATGTCACCCAATAAGTTTCTTTTCCCTAATTTTAGAAGAATGGGTTTGAATTCAGTGCAACTCTGCTCAGAATTAGAACTATTGAGATCAAGGAAGCTATGGTGATTTCTTCGGTGTGCATTTGAAAAGATCTTAATATTTCACATAGGACATTTGATATTTAAAAGGCCTGCATTCATTGTGGCAAAAAGGGAAATGGTGATACCAATTGTTTAATTACTTTGCTTTGTGGTGCATTTTGTTTTTAACTTGGCCTGGATAGCAGGGAATTGCAATGGCAGATCAGGGCAGTTTCTCTAACCAAGATGTGCTCTTAAGACTTGTATTAAATGACTTTAACATTTCTTGTACTGTCTTTTTCCTTTCCAGTGGAAGACTGAAATCTTGGACTATTGTCACAATACCCGTGTGCTGCTGATAGGATGCAAGACAGACCTGCGCACTGACCTCAGCACGCTGATGGAGTTGTCTCACCAAAAGCAAGCCCCAGTCTCTTATGAACAGGTGAGGCAATACAGGATGTTGGTGCTGGTCTGAATATCTATTGGCAATTCTTTCTTTCAACTGGGACCTTTCCTGGGGCATCAGGCCTCCTCATTTTCAAACTTGTTCTAGTTTACCTTTTTCTTCTTCTTTCCAAGATGACTAAAATAGTATCAGGGACGCTAGACTTAAGGCTTGCATATGCTAATGAACTTGTCATCTTTCACCTTCAAGTATTGCTGTGTTATTGGAAATGCCTGCAATGAAGTATTATTTCTATAAGAATATAAAACCACTGCTGGATCACAGCCAATTTCCTGCAAACACCCTGTTTGTTATCAGAATCACATACTTGAGATGGGTGGGCAGATAACTCTAAATCCATAAAGTTAATCCAGTGAGGATTGTAGGCCAGAGGTAGAAACCTGGTATACTCTTAAATGGTTTGGACCGGTAGTTCTACTAAGATTAATCAAGGAAAACTGAAAATAAACAGCCGTGATGGCGCAGTGGCTAGAATGCAGTATTGCAGGTTAAATTGACAGTTCGATCCTAACAGTTCAAGGTTGGCTCAGCCTTCCATCTTTCTGAGGACCCAGATTGTTGGGGGAAATATGCTGGCTCTGTAAACCAGGAGTTTCCAACCTCTGGTCTGTGGACTGGCACTAGACCATGGCATGCCGGAAACCAGGCTGCACAAACAAGCACAACCCCATCCACGGGATACAGGCAGCATGCAAAACTACTCCCCCTCTGGTCTGGTGGGGGTGGGGGGGAACCTCTCTCCACGCTGCTGGTCCCTGGTGCCCAAATAGTTGGGGGGCGGGGAAGGGCGCTGCTGTAAACCACTTAGACAGGGCTGTAACGCTCTACAAAGCGGTGTATAAGTCTAAGGGCTATTGCTGTTGTGAGAACTGTAGCCTAAAATCCCAGAGGACACTAGATTACTGATTTCTATTCTAAGCGGTATTGCATCAGTGTTGGTGGCTATTGTTCCCTTCTTTGCCAAAGGAACTTGAAAAGCCCCCTGGTGGAGTGAGAAAAGTGCTCTTTCATAGAAAACGAAAAGTCATTTTGCTTGGTCAGCTCCTGAAGGATGAGAATAATAGTCCAGTCCTTCCATGGGAGGACCATATTCCTCCATGTCCTCATTCCTCTACGGCCCCTGAAGACCCTACCATGAGCCTGGTGTTTGTTCTGTAAAAGCGCTAAGGCCGTGATGGCAAACCTATGTGGCATGCAGAGCCCTCTCTGTGGGCTTATGCGCCATCGCCCCAGCTCAGCACCGCTGTGCATGCACGTGCACCTCCTGCCAACTGGCTGGTCTTTGGCTCTCTGCTGCGCATGAACAGGGTGGGGTGCATGCACAGGAGCATGTGCGTGTTGCATTTTGGGGGTGCACGCACATGGGCTTTGGGGACTTGGTGCTGAAAAGGTTAGCCATCACTGCCCTAAGGGGAGTCCTAATGCCTCTTTTCCTTTCCAGGGTTGTTCTGTCGCCAAGCAGCTGGGAGCAGAAAGTTACCTAGAATGCTCTGCCTTCACATCAGAGAAGAGTGTCCACAGCATCTTCCGGACAGTGGCGTCCCTCTGCCTCACCAAGCCTGGCCTCCCAGGGCCCCCCAAGAGCCCCACCCGAAGCTTCCCCAAGAGACTTCTCCGTCTTCCCAGCCGATCGGAGCTCATTTCTTCCACTTTTAAGAAGGAGAAAGCAAAAAGTTGTTCCGTCATGTGAAGGAGCTGGCAGGAGAGGGTGGTGATGGAACCGCTGTGGACTCCTGGGCCTCCAGGTGGCCCCCCTCCAGGGTGTGGGATTCAGGGACCGGGCTTGGCTCCTCCAAGCCAGAGCTGGAAAGTTCAGAAGGATCCAGTTTCCCTTTCTTCCTGCTATCCAGGGAAGAGGGGGAAACGGCAAAACATGGCTGGACGGCTTGAACGAAGATTGGTGCAAGACTTGCCTCCTCTGCAAGTCTTGGGGCTTGGCACAGCGACATCTTGGACGGTAGCTCCTGGTGACTATGGCGCATATTTGAAGGAACTGGAGGGGGGGATTACCACCACCACTATCCCGCCTTGCCAATGCACAGTTAATATTCTTCCTTTGGCCCTGGGTCATCCCATACACCTGCTGCTTATCAATTGCCTGTTGGATGCGGACTGAGTGCAAGCATCTCCCTCTATGCCAGCACATGTACCCCTCTCTGAATCTAGGGTACAGGTGCCCAGGCATCCCTCGTGGAAATAAAGCTGGGGGGGGGGGGGGGGAGAGTGACCTATTGATCTTGTGTATATGTGTGGAAAGAATGGAAATATAGGGGGAGGGGGGAGATCTGTGAAATGTTCAGTGTTATTAAAAGAGAACTTATTTATTCATGAAAATATAATGCAGATTAACCATCTTATTCAAAGGGCTTTCTTCTTTGCCATCACCTCTCTTCCGCTCTCCCAGTGATAGAAGGGAATAAGGAGAAACTATTTTACAACACTTCAAATTTTGATTCCTTTCCCTCATCCCCAAAGGGGGGGCAGGGGGGGGGCAGGGGGGGTTTGCCTTCCCGTTGTTCTAGCTGTGGGTCAAAGTCCTAAAGTAATATTTAAAACATTTCCAAATGACTCTAAATCTGGGAGCTACCTGGTGTGGCTTTCGTCAGTCAAAGTGAAGGAAATCAGCTGGATCTAAGATAGGCAATATGTACCGCTTTTACATTCCAATTCCCACCAATCCTAGTCTCTGGCCAACAGGGAAGGATGCTGGCAGTTGGGATCAATAGCTTTTGGGAGGCTGCTTTGTTTTGGCTCCTGAAACATAAACATTTTATTTCAGATTTGTAGTCTCAGGCCAGGATTTTGCTGTATTTTTAATTTGGAGATGTATTCTGCAAACACTGCTATGCTGAAGGCTCCTGATTTTAAATAGAGCTCTTAATTTAAATCATACCTCTTCTGTAGGGTGATCACAAACTGCCCCAGTAGCTCTTGTGGGCTAATTGTGGCCTGGTTTTAATGGACAAACTGAGCCTCTATCACATGAACTATATTTCTGGTTGCAATTATCCTGTGAATGCTAAGAGTGCCATGGAATTAGAAGATTTTAAAATGCCGTATTGATACAACCAGCAAAGTAGGAGAAATCCTTTGGTTCTGAAAAAACATGTTGCTGCTTCTATCATAGCAGCCTATCTACTAATTGTATATATATATTAGATTTTATTTTGTCCAGTTCAAAGCATATCTAGCACTCCCTTCTGATAATCCCGTGTTAGTGAATGTTTATCATGGAAGAGGCCCTTTTAGTGGAAGAGGGCTTATTCTCTTGTATGATAAGTACAGGTAGTCCTCACTTATGACCACAATTGACCCCAAAATTTATGCTTGCCCCATTTTATGATCTTTCTTGCCACAGTCAAGTGAATCACCGTAATTGTTAAATTAGTAACACGGTTGTTAAGTGCATCTGGCCTTCCCATTGGCTTGGTTTGTCAGAAGGTTGCAAAAGATGATCACATGTCTTCAGGACATTGCAGCTGTTGTAAATATGAGTCAATTGCCAAGGGTCTGAATTTTGATCACATGATCGTGGGGATGCTGCAATGGTCATTGCAGATGTGAAAAATAGTCATCAGTCATTTTTTTTCAGTGCTGTTGCAACTTTGAACGGTCACTAAAAATGAACTGTTGTAAGTTTAGGATTACCTGTAGTTCTCTTAGGTGGGCTGATCTATAAATGGTTGCTTATTTGGTTGTGAAATCAGGTCTTATTTTTTTCTCTCTAATGGGTTCTTATAAATTCTTTTATAAGGATTGCAAGCACTTGTTGATGTCTGATGCTTGCCTGCCAATGGTTAAGCTTCATTACCCATTAGGAATATTTTGCAAGATAGTCACAGATTGAAAAGGCTACAAGTGAATGCATCACACAAGAGCAGTGTTGTTAGTTTATTTAACTTTACATTTGATGAGGTCCTTTTCACAAAGATGTTACACATTTCTTCATTGTAGTAGGTGCAGAGTCTGTTGGCGAAATCTGTCCGATTTCAGTGATGTGCACCTGAGAGTATGATAAGTGCTTTGTTATTATTGAGCAGAAGAAAGAGAAGTCAAGCTTGAGGGAAGATTTTATTGCTAGACTGAAGGCGACTCCTAACCTGAATACATATGTAAAGCTTATGTAAACTTGTTGAATCAGGGTCAATTTATGACAAGACCATGCAGTTAGTTCTCTTGACAGTTATATGATAGAAGATTGCCAATGCCTTCCATGATACTTTAAATTTTTTTTAGTGTTGCCCAGTGTTTCTCAACCAAGACAACTTTATGAAGTGTGGAATTCAGTCCCCAGAATTTTCCAGTCAGCAAGCTTATACAGGATTTGAGGAGTGGTGGTCTACAGACCTTAAAATTGACAAGATTGAAAGGCATTGGGCCAACCCGTAACTCTGGAATTCTAATCCTGTTTAGTTCTCAGATCCAGACAAGTCCAGAAGAGGTCAAAAATATAGTTGAATATTGGTGGCAAGAGCATTCTCCTTTGTTCTAAGATGCCTTTACAGGCAGACAAGTTAAGCTGCAGTTACACACGAGAACCTTAGATCTCCACATGCTGGGGGCTCTGTAAAAAAAAAGGTTACCTTTTGAGCATCACTTGTAGACTTAGGATATGGCAGTTCCAGGCAACAATAATACTAAAAGGTGCATGTTTTTTAGTGATTGTTGTATACATTAGTCTTCCATCTACTACCTTCTAGACGTCTGAACCTCAGATCCCAAAATTCTCAGCAATCCCTGGGTTGGCTGGAAACAGTATCCATTCAACTAAAGGGTGCCCAAACTGGGGAAGGCTGGCCCAGCTAAAGAGTCTGCTTGATAAATAAAATCTATTCAATACTGCTAAAAGCTATGCAACTGAAAGACCAAGCCTTGAATTTTGCTTCTTTTATTACATTGACTTTGTTTGCAAAATGTCATATAGAAGAACAATGACTCATTGAAGTACACTAAACCTGAGAACCTGTTCCTGGTTTTTCCAACCAGTTGAGTTGCCTTGGAGATGTTAAGACTCTAACCAGAATTTAGCTAGTAAGCTAGTAAGACCAAAGGTAATTCTGCAATCCTAGCACATCTAGAAGTGCTATTAGGTCGCAGAACCCTTAATGAGTTGAATGATACTCCCACAGTCCAAATCACCAGTAGTCATCTTCCCTCAAGCTAGCCCACCAATAATGTTGGACTTGCCTTTGAAGGCAGCTATTTTACATTTTTTTGGAAGCTGGGGTTGAAACTGGTTAATTCTCCAGGCTTTCCATCCTACTTACTAGCTGAACATTTTTCTTTCTTTCTACAGCACAGTTAATCTGCTCTTGGGATACCACACCACATCTGAATTACATTTTAATTACCTTCTTGCTGTTACAGAGTTGTGCTTGGTAAATAAAATATATATTTTATTTGAAATCAGGATATACTGTATTTAATATACATCCTCATTTTGTGATAGTTTTGAGGAAGCTGATGCAATTCTATTTCCAATAGTGGCAAATATCTGTAGCTTGGATATAGAATGAGGATGAAGATTCATTCTCTAAGCTTGTGGATGGTTTCTGAACGTTTATTTACCAGACTAGGTAACATGTTCAGTGGAGTTTAGGTTGTGGTTTACAACCACAATTGGGATTGGAATTTTGGTTGATAAGCAATGCAGTTCAGTGAATCCAACAGAAGAACATTTGACACATCTCCTAAACTCATTGGAAGATGTTATCTAGCCTGGTAACAAAACATTCAGAAACCAACCCACAAGCTCAGAGAACGAACCTTTACCCTCACCTATTTCCGTTGGATAGAGAGAGAAAAAGTCTAAAATTCTATCAATGACAAAATTATAAGTATTTTCTTGGGTAGGAATGGAACCTATTCTTACCTCTAAGAGGGAGTCAAAGATGACAAAAATGTCTGAATGCGTCATCTTGCCTGAGATCCAAAGTCCTTAATCATCTACACTTTTGCTGGCTTGTCATATACTACACCATAGCTAGGCAGTAACACAAAGTGTTCTGGACTTTATCCCCTGAGCAAATAAGTGCCTTCAATCATCCGGTCTATGAAACTTTCATATGGAAATTTACAAAATGGGTAGTACACATGAGTGGACTGTGGGAAAGAAGGCAGTTTCCATGGGTGTAACTACCCTGAGTTAAATGGGAAAGACAGTCCCATGTTACGAAGTGTGCTAGATTCATTATTAGATCAGATGGATATTTGAAGAGGGAGCAGCAAGAAAGTGACGCGTCTGATTTGTATGACCTGCTTTTCAACCCCTGAGTTGCTTCTATTAGACATAATGGAAGATGCTGTCCTAATACCAGCTATTCAACATGAGTTAGAAAAAGACCATTTCCTTGACCTTTGCAAAGCTTCTTGTTCCAGCCCAGGTGGAGAGATCCTAATTTCAAGACAATGGATGTTCTAACATGTTTTGTTGGAACTGAAAACAAAAGTAAATAATGTAGCTAAGTAAAGAAATCATATAAAAAACTGATAATTCCTGTCAGTCACAAAATACCAGATGACTCTCAGATTGTCTATCGATCCAAAAGCTATTCTATTCGGTGTTCTATTCAACCTTTATAATATAGGTAGGTCTCAATTAGTGCAGTTAATGTATCCCGCAAAATGGTAGCGTTATTTTAGCTTGTGAAATATCTGAAGTGATATTTTTATGGAAAATATGGCATTTGATTACAGCTCAACAGTAATATTGATTTGTTAAAAATAATTTTATAGATATATTACCATAAAGGATAAAAATAATATACTTTTAATTTAATGTATTGTAAACAAAATCACACAGTAGTACTAGAAAGCAAAATAAAAACAAATTCCACTATGGATTCGACTATTTCAACATTGAGTCCTATTGTAGCATTGCTAGGACCACATTTACGTCATAGAATTACATCAAATTTTTACTTTAATGTAATAACAAGCTTCTTTTTTTAAAACTAGTATGGTTATCCTCTGATGAAATCTTTTCCCCTCATTTTTCACACAGAAAAACAACAGGCATCTCAATTTTGTGGCTGGTACAATTAATAAACAATGTGGCAAACTGCCAATTTAATTGCATGAGCTTGAAGATTTGCATGTTGACTGGGGTTATGGAGAACAAGATAAGGATTTTACTTCCTCCAGCACTCACTGGGGAAGACAGTGAGATCCATCCTTGACACCCCTTAAAAGGGCCATAGATTTAAACAAAGGGATGAGGGATAATACTTGATTTTCATTACTTTTTATTAAATAAAATTCACTTCTTCACTTTCTCCCATGAAAATTGAGTCACTAGGTAATTCTGCAAAACATCTGTGCAGCATTGTAAACCTGCACTTGTAAGGGAATAGCCTGCTGCTCACTATTAGGGATACCACAAAGATATAAAATATGTGGCAAGAGGCAAAGCACATTATGGCTTGCAGTGTGGGGCTCATGTTTCTTAGGTCAAGCCGAGATGTAGAGCAGTTTAACACCCTTGTAATTTCTTAAAAGATAGAAGTTGTCTTTTGACAAAGCCAAACAATATTTAGGGCAGAGCACTAGTTAATGTACAGAAGGTGCAGCCTCTTGACTTTTTCATGTTTCAGACAGTAATTAATGGGGACTGAAAAAGATGTTCGCTTGGTGAGATTTTGGGGGATTGCTGTTAGGCAGACCTAATTGCATAGCATTAGATGATTATAGGTAGTACTCAATTTACACAGCAGTGAAATTCCATTTTAATGTATGCCAATTAGCGTACATTCAAAGTGACAATAAAGTTATTCTATCTATTCTATACTCAGCCGTTATTATTGTTCCCCAAGGGACAGAAAATGTACAAATGTAACGTAAATGAACAGATCCATGCTAGTTGAGCTGTTTCCTTTTTGGTGACCTGTTCAGCAAGGACTGATCAAAGGCGATCTGTAAATAATGTGGAGAGTCACTAGGAAAAAAAAATTATATAACGCATTGCGGTCGTCAAGCGGTCGCAAAAATTTATACAGCCATACATCCGACCAGTCAACCCTCATCAGCTTCATATGTTCCCATGCGAAAACTCCACCTCCTACATAAAGCTAACCCCCGCCCCCAACCATGAGAGCAAAAAG